GTGGACTTGGGCTGGTCTATCTCGGATGCTCCTGGCATGGCGAATTCCTGCTCCTCATTCATCGGTCAGCAATACTGTCTCACAAGACCTTCCCAGACCACCTCACTCCCACACACCCAGACCCCATCCTATTATTTTTCAACATATCTCTCTCATTTGTTTCCAGAATAGCAGGGATCGTCTAGGGATCGTCCATTAACACTCACTGGAATACTGCCTGATATTCATTGGGCATTTAATATTATTGGAAGAAAGCATGTAGTTGATATGAAGAACTACAGTACCAATAAATAGGACCCAGGCCGAAGCCCTAGAACAGTAGTTTCTTGAAGGAATTCCTGATGCCACTCTGGAATGTCCCTCAGATGTTACCAGATCTGACATCAGCCTCCATGACTGCAACAGCTTGGGGTAGGCCCCAAAGATATATCTGTTTCTAACCCACTCCAATAAGAGACTGCAGGCTACTCTTTCTTCCAGTGATTTCTAAGTCCTGTGGTTTACCAGAGCCAAAAGCAGGGCCCAAGGGGGAACTGGATCCCTTGGTCAGGCAAGATACAAACACCCACACTGTGGGGCCTTCATGCCTTTGCAGATCACTTCCCCATCACAGCTGCCATTCTGGTCACCCAAGGAGCTTCTCACCTCCCTGTCAGCCAGGCAACATCTCCACCCGGGGCACCAACTATGAAGGAGAATTCTGTTTCCTAAACACCCATTTATCCTAGGAAGCAAGCTGGAAGAGAGAGAGAGAGAGAGAGAGAGTGTGTGTGTGTGTGTGTGTGTGTGTGTGTGTGTGTGTTTCCATTTTACAAGTGGAGAACACTACCTGAGGTCTCACAGCTAGAGGACAACAAAGCCAAGATTGACGCTGAGATTTTAACTACCTGCAGTTGAGACCCACACGGGCATGGCACCATGCAATGACCTCAGGGCTAGCTTTGGCAGAGAGCAGAAAAGAGGAGGTGAAATGCCCCCTGACACCACTGCCATGTCCCCGTGCTGAAAGGAAAGCAAAAGTGAAGAGGGAGGAGGAAAGGAAGAGAGGAAGTAACAGGAGAAAGGACAGAGCCTCCCACTCCTCTCCGTCTCTCATGATGACACCAGCATGGCACCTGCCTGACCTGTACCTTCTCTGTCCTGCTCTGCATGGACAGCATTTTGGCTCTTATTTGGAGCTGCTGGAAACGTCCACTCCTACTGCACTACTACAAAAGAGCAACAGCTCATTCAGACAAGAATAAGAATTCAAAACATCTTTCTGTAAAATAACATACATTGTGGTGAGGGTTTACAATACTGGTAGGGTTTTTCCTTTACTTAAAAAAGAAAAAAAACAGTTTAATAAAGACTCACTAATGTGAAATCCCCAAAGCTCTGAAAACCCAATGTTTTTTCATAACTCATTTGGAAGTAAAATCTGACCTGACCTGAACTCCTGGGGCCTGGATTCTTTTGGTGACAAAACCTGACCTGAGTTGACATGAGGCTATTTATAGTTTTTCTTTATCCCACTGAGTGTGAATATTCATCAACCTCACTACAGAAATATTAATGTGTTTGATTACAGGATCCTGCTCCAGACCACACTGCAGTGCTATGTAATAACCAGTATACGCACAATGTTATCCTTCCTTAAAAAAAGAAATCTGAATTCAGCAAAATATAGCCTCAAACGCTTTGTATACAGAATCACAGACCTGTATTTATTCAGATTTGACCTCTCTGATCCTTGGATTCATCACAAATCTGAGATTAGTGAAACATCATTTCATTGGGAAAATATTAATTTCAAACAAGCAACTTGAAAATTAACTTCAGAATGCCACAAATTCCTGGGCTTGAACCTAACTCTATAAAAGTATACAACAAAAATTTTTCATAATAAAAGTTTTTCATTCTGAAGAAAATGGATCAGACTCTCCTTCCCATCCCCACAGAATCTTGGGGAAGTCTTCAGCTTCTGGTCTTCTTGGTCTCTGTGCATGGAGAAACATACTGGAATATTAGAACGGCAACCAAGGAAAAGAAAGGTAACAGGAGAAATCCTGTCATTTTGTTCATTTATATTTCTGTCAAAGCTATGCTTTTATGATTTTATTGTAATTCAAAGTTAACCTTTCTAGTAAAAGGAAAGATCCAACATCCCCTTTACAATACAAAATAACTTCAAGAGAGAATCCCAATCATCTTATAACCATCATGTGAATACAATAAATCCTATAGCTGATTATTTTTCTCACATAGTGTTTTGGCTGCTAAAAAACACGGCCAAATTCAAAGCCTAGCTCTATCACCTGTGATGAATTTTATACTGTGTGTTCTTTGCCCTAACCTTACCCATCCCAGCTTTGTCATATTTTTTCCTACCCTAATTTCTTCACGTGTTTGAGTGGTGATAGTGTTGTTGGTAGTGATGATGATGATGTGTGTGTAATTTAAATATCTTTGTAATAAGGTAGAATACAGAAAAATAAGTACTTAATAACGTGTGAGCACAGATCTATTCTCTTCCAACTAGCAATGACCAAACTCTAATTCATTCTAGTTGATTAATTATAGACACTAAGCCATAATTAAAACCTTCTATGCCATAATGCCTATGACCATCATTTATTAAACAAAAATAATCATAAATTAGGGAAGCAAAAAAACACCTCAGCTATGTTGCGTGCTGCAAATACACACAGTCACTGGAGGAACATGACTAAGGACTGATCATCACATCCTCCCCGTGTGCTGAGGAGGCAGCAGTTTCGAGTGTGCCACGCTAGCTGCCTGTGCCTCCACTCCCATCTGCAGGCCCTCGGCCACTTCCCCATAGCCTGACAGTGTGAGAGCCCTACTTCTTACCCCAGGCCTCCTACTTACTGGAGTTACCGAAAGACAGGGAAGTCCTAAACTAGAGAGTACTCATAAAACTCCCCTAAGAGCCCAGTACTTTCTGTTTTACAACCCATCAACATTTTCAGTAATTCTGAAGCACTGGAATTTTCCCTAGTGTGTAATTCATAGTCCTGAATCATAATCCAGGTGGAATTTCTGAAAGAAGAGCTAAAGATGTAGTTTCAGTGGTCGAGTGTCTGACTGGCATGTTCAGTGCCCTGGGTTCAAAAAAAAGAAAGAAAATCCTGAAAGGAAAAAGCCTAGAATTTAGATAACAAATAGGATAATCAAGTTTCGTAACCATGAATTAGATATTAAGCAAGACTTCCCTGGCCTCCTCCTACACTAGTAAGATATAAGAAGGTACAGATCTACAAGCAGCAGCAGCCTACATGTGCCCTACAACTAGGAGATTACAAGTTCATTTTAGGTATAGGTGGCAGCGAGGTCAAGGGACTTGATTTCTTACTCAAAAGTAAGTTCTAATATAATTATATTTATATACATCAAGAATACTCCAAGGGCAAAATCAGAGTACAGATGAAAGTCATTCTTTTAAAAATCCAATCATCATCATCATCATCATTATTATTATTATTATTATTATTAGATAGCCTTGGTACTATAAACTGACTTCTCTCTAATGCAATTCTATTATGAAGAATTGGGGAAGACAATGGAAGAGAGAAGTTAGAGTTTTTTAAAGTGCAACTTAAGATGAATGTTTATCATTTTATTAAACCTTTAAAAATTATTTATAGACAATGTTTGGCATTACCTGAAGTATGAATTTTAATTTTAAGCCTTGCAAAAATTTAAGAATTAAAATGCTTAAACTCTGTTTAAAATGATTATGGCCTCTACCATCACAGGAGAGCTGTACCTAAAGGAATGTAATAAGCAAACTTTAAATATATGTCTCCCCAAAAGTCCCATCCCCTGCTTATTCAATCAAGCAGTTAACTAGGTTACCACTGTGAAGGGACTTTTTGGATGTAATTATGGTTACTAATCAGTTGATTGAGAGAGTTAAACTGGAATACCTGAGTGAGCTCAATGTAATCACATGAGTCCTTCAAAGGCAGAAGAGAAAACAGAAAAAGAAGGCATGGAGATTTCATGGAGAAAGCCTCTAGAAGGCCCCTGGCTAACAGCTAGCAGGGAAACAGGTCCCCATCCACATGAGACTAAATGTGACCAGTGAATGAACTTAGAAGGGAATAATTTCCTAAGACCTACAGGTAAGGGTCCAGACCTACCGCTACCTTGTGAGGCCTCAGCAGGAAACCCAGAGAAGCTGAACTGTGGACCCCAGAAAAGTGAGGAAATAAGGAGGTAGCACTGTAGGCCACTAACTTTCATGGCAATTTGTTATGGTAGCAATAGAAAACCAATACCAGGAGTAAAGCAAAATTGAGCACATATGAGTCTGTTCAGCTAAAGCAATTATACAGAAACAAACAAACAAAAAGGATCTGTAAAATCATCAAAATTTTTTTAAATAAAAAATTTGCCAGTATAAAGTTTTATTGCATAATCTTATTCATTACCTTAAAATCAGAAAATCTGCCATCGTTTCTAAGCATTTCAGATCAATAAAGTATAAAGCAAAGATTTGGAGATCAAATGTGAATGAACATAGGACCAGAACTCTTTTGTCACAGTTACTAGGCACCACCCTGACTAAAACATAAAAAAAGAATAATTTTAGACTTTTATTATTTAAAGGAAAAAAACAATTATACAGAGAATTAAATTTAACGTAAGGAATACCATTCTAATAATTAAAGCCCTACAGCAATGGAATTGGTTGTCTCCAATTGAGACCAGAAATATAAAGAAGACCCTTAGAATTTCATAGAAAAGTTGACCTAAATGACCTCTACAAGCCATTCACCTCCCAAATTCTGTAGTTCCATCAACTTAGTAATTGAAATACGGCACTATCCAGAGTCCTAGTTGTTACTATTACTCTGAAGGCCACATGAATCCGTAACATTTTAAGATCAGGTGCCCAAGATGATTCTCACAGCAACACAAATTATTAGCATTACAACTGTCTAAACAGGAACAGCACACAATATGCTAAAATGAAACTATTTTATAAGGGCAGGCTTTGAAACTCCGCAGGACTCCAGGAGGCTCCTGGTCTGGACCGGGCTGAATATGGGAGAGAGGCCTGGGCCGCCGCCTGCACACAACCTGTCCATGACCCTGGATGGCACAAGCACCTGACTCTGGGAGCACGGTCGGCCCCTCGCAAACAGAAGCCTGGCTCGTGGCACACAGGACAGTTCCCGGGAACCTGTGCGGCAGCTGTCGGTAAGATACGCCAGCTTTCCCGGTATGCAAGTGTTTGTACAAGACTCGCGTTTCGCTCAGGTTCAGGGTGGGTCGGGTTGTTTCCCCAGTTCTAGGGCAGGGAGGACGCGCCGAGGACGTCCCTCGGGCCAAAATGGACAATGCAAACAAACAGTGCTTCCAGCCGAGCGGACAGTCGGGTGCGCTCCTCCCGGAGCCGGGCCGCGCACACCAGCTGGCTTATCTGCAGCTCGCACAGCCCCACAGCGCCCGCCAGTTCCTAGAGAAGCGATTCCGAGAAAAAAGCAAGAGCCCGGTTCCCTAGAAACATTAACACAAGGGATCTGGAAACGAAACAGCAGATGCCTGAAAGCCTTCCCCTGGACGGTTTCCTGCCTTCTTGGAAAATCTTTGCATTAAAATAGATTGGATTACCCTACTCGGCCAAATACAGCTCGAGCCTTTCCTCTGGGGCGGATGGGAAAGCAGAGTTTGCCATCTTTTGCAAAGGTTTTCCTTTTCGAGGTGGTGGAAGAGAGCCTTGGGGTATCTGACGTCTGCAGGGACCTGAGGCTGAGCTTTCCGCGTTACAGTGGAGAACTTTCCACAACATTGACTTGCAAATCAGATAACCGAGATCATGCAGGGCGAAGCAGATGGTGCCCAGCAAAAACTCGGAGAGATTCCCGTCTCTGGAAAGAGCTTAGAAGAGGGTTTAATCCCCTTATTTTGCTGAAAAAAAAAAATAGCATTTTTATTCCTAAATCTGATTACTTTGACCAGCTATAAGAACAGAATAAAACCACTTAATTGCATTTCCAGAGTCACGAGCAGAATCAGAAAAACTCGTAATATTTAATCAGCCTCCTTGTTTATAACTGTCTGAAAGTTTATCACGCACTACATAATTTGTAAATTCAGACCAAGCTAAAGAACTACACATCCTAAGAGCAGTGGGCCTCGAGCACAGAGTATTCCGATTGTGTGGCTTCTTTCATACTGACATTCTGGTAGCTGGGAATAAGAACCCAAGCTTCGTATGAGGCATCGGGATTTTACAGAAGTAAAGTTTTTACTGTATTCACACCTTTAACTTTTTTTATCCCTTGACAGTCTTTATAGGGAGATGCAGATCTTTAGACATTATTTTACCTGTCTGCTTTCTAGTAAATCAGAAAATAACCTGCACTCCTAAAAGGATTCGAAGCTTACCCCAAACTTGGAAGCACAAGATGGGGGAGAAGCACATTAGCACGATACTGTAAACAAAAATAAAATTAAAGATCTTTTCCCAAGTCTAAAAGCAACAAAGCTCATTTTAAAGCTATCTATGCAAACAAAATAATTTTGTCGGTAATGAGGCAAGTACACAGTTCCATGAGAACAGCAGCCCCTGTTTCTGTTTTAACAACTCACAGGGGATACACAAAATCTGTCATTCCTTCCCGATGTATGAAAAATAAAGGGCAATTTCATAGCGACTTCATTGCTTTCTAATGGCCAGCCTTGAGGAAAAGCAAATATGATTGTTAAGTGTTTATAAGAAAGCAAAGAAAAATGCTGCAAGAATTATTTTGCTGGCAGGCCACAGAGAAAGCCGGAGTCTGTCGGGCCCAGCCACTACAAAGTTGTTTTAAAAATGAAAGTCAAACAGCTTTGAACAGGTGGCATTTTCTACAACAAAATTATCAAATGTGTACTTTTAAATCACAAATAATACTTCTACTAGAAAATAACTCAAGTTATAAAAAAAACTAAACTGCTATAATAAGAATAAATAACTAGCCAGACAATATTGGTCAATGCTGGCTACTTAGAAAATGACCAGAGAATTTCAAAATGATTATGAATGATCCAGTGTGACCGCTCCATTTTCTAACTGTCTTAATGTCATGCACATGGTTTTCACAGAAGCAGATTTTTATATTCTAAGAATAAAATCTTATTGCCATGTATTAATATAATAGCAAACAAAAACGGTGACAAACTTGGCTTTTAAAAAAAATGTTTTTATTAAAAACAACCTTCTGGTAAACCATGGCATTACGGAAAATTAACAAATATAACAATCCCCTTGCAAAACTTTTTGGAAAACAAAAACAATCTTAATATAATAGAAAAATGTGAATAGCTTACAACCTTCAGAATTCCTTACAACCTTCAGAATACATAGCTAGTTGGTAACTTAATTCTGACATTTCCTCACAATTAAGTGGGACAGAAAGAGAGAGACTGGGATTTAAATGTTGAGGGGGGAAAAAAAGTTATTCCCATCAAAGTTAAAATATGTATCAAGTACCTGGCCTTGCTTTGGGGGATCCCCTCTACTTTACAAATCATTTCTGAATAAATGAGCTAATTAATATTTTAAAATCCAAATCCATATATCCTGCTATTTAAAAAGTGCATAATATTAAATATATTCTCCTTTCTATATATTGTTCTTTGGCCAAAGTCCCCCAATAACCTTTTAGTTATGATTTGTTTCCTAAGTTAAGAAAGTTTGTGGGGCCAGAGATTTAGCTCAGTAGCACCTCGCCTGCCTCACAAGTGCAAGGTTGTTAGTTCAATCCTGGTACAAAAAAAAAAGAAAGAAAGAAAGAAGGAAAGAAAGTTTGTGTTTTATGTTAGAAAAATCAGTAAATGTCTTCTGAAGTTAAGGGCTCCAAAATAAATGATTCCAATCTTTTCATGAAAGCTCTCATAATTAAAGAAGGTGCCTGGTAGTGAGGAAGAAAATAAAAAGGGTATTTCCAGTAGACCAAAAGCACAGTTGTAATTACTAGGACCCATAATGATTATTAATGTGCTTCCTATAAAAATGCAGGGTTTTGCATTATTTCAAAAGTACACACTGGTTTTTTTTCTTAATAAATAAAAAATAATTTCAAGTTTTTCTTTTTTAAAATGAGAATAACTTTTAAAAATAGAAGACTACCTTCAGAATATTTTTCACCATTTCAAAGCATAACATTTTATTTTTATGGATTCTTAAAATTCAATGCCATTGTCAAAGCTAACAGAGACCACCTATAGTAGGAAAGAGACCTGATGCTTTCAATTATATTTTCCTAGAAAGATTTATATGATACTTAATCTTAATAGCTTTTTTATTCTTTAAAAAAACTTTCAGTGCCAATATAAATCTCAGTAGTTCATGCAAACAGCTCATCAGCTGACCCTAAAAACAGGATAATTTAATGAACTCTAAATAATACATTATATTGGCTTTGAATAACACATGTACTGTTAATACGTCCTGTTAAGATATTGGGTACCAATCTCAAATCTGTCTTGGAAATAAGCGGGATACACAGTTTTTAAAAGGAGAGGCTACATTAACCATAGCTCAGGCTCCTCTGGACGTCAGGACAGCTGCTGCCCGTCCTTCCATCCACCCATCCATTGTGGCACCACAATTCTCACTGGTCCCTGACCACTGCCAAAGTCCATCAGAACGTTTCCACTCTCGCATCTCTTCAGGGTCAGAGACCTGTGGAGTCTGCTGTGAGAAGAGGGAAAATGTACACATCTAACTCTATTCCCAAGCTCCCTGTATCATTTCAAAGTCACTCTTTTGCTAATAATGGAAATTAGATTGACAGAAACCACCAGCAGCCTAAATGATTGTTTCCCCTCAAGATATATTTTTAAACAAAATTACCCTTTCCTTTACCTCCTCTTTCCTCCCCCTCCCGTCCTCCTGCTTCCCTCCCTCCCTCTCTTTCTTCTTCCTTTTCTAAATGTCAGACTTTGACAGACTAATGATTTTTACCCTGTTTGAATCTGGTCCCTGTTATCTTTGGTGATTTTCTGCAAAGTGGGATTTCCATTGTTTATGAAGATAAAACCGGAAGTTGACACTTAATGCACAAAAAAAGATTTAACCCCAGGTTAGGATGACATCGGTTTTAGTTTGACCCTAAACTAAGGAGGATGGGGTAAGGAACTGAGCATGATCCCCTAAGGCAAGGATTTCTGAGACCCGTCACTACGTCTCTGCAGCCCGCCAACGTTCTCTGGAGGGCCCACTTCACAGCTCCCTTCTTTAGGAAGCTGGAGATCCAGCAAGGGCATCTCATGGAAGCATTCATTCCACAGAAGGTTAAATTAGGATGAGATCCTCAACAGGCTTCAAAAAGGGAGAGTTCCAGGCATGCCTGAGGCCACAGGGGCTCCTTCGGGGCCTGGTCCCCACCGTCTGACACTTTCGGCCCCTCCTCTCTGCTCTCCTCCCCACCCCATTCTTCCGCCAGCCCTTTTTCCTCTGACCCTGCAAAAAAATTTTTAAAAGAGCAGCGCTGTTGTTTTGCTCCAACTAACAAAAACAGCTATGAAGCAGCAGCAGAACATGACTGCCCTTTTCAAAACAGGCCACGTGGTCAGCCTAGTTAAATGCAGCTCTCACAGTCAAAATGAACAGAGAGGGAGCTGTTTATGAAAGTCCTGCTTGCCTACAGAACACTCTCATGCCCTCCCCTGCCAGCCACCTGAACACCCAAACGAGTTCATATAATGAGCTATATTTTCTCACCCCCAAATTCTACCTCCATCCAAACTGCTAATGCGGCAGGTTCCAGCTGCCTAAATTCCCTAAACAGCATTCCCTGTTCCATAAAAAGCATAGGCCTGCAAGCACAGCAGTCTTGCTGGGATTCTCAGAACTATAAACCAACTCCCGGTTCCCTGGGCTGAGAAGGCTGGGAAATAGGCCACGGATGATTTAAAGGTACACAATATCCAGGGCTCCATTCACCCCCAGGCAGCCAAGGGGGACCAGGTGCAGTGACCTCTATGTTTTGTTTTGTTTTGCTTTTAATACTGTGTTGAGTCACTGCTTCAAAAGAACCATCCTTCCTTCGCACAGAGAAAGAATGACACTGGACTGGTACTGCTGTTTGTGATGGCATTTGTTTCACCAAGTGGGACAAGTTCCACACGACAGACCCTCTCAATCAGGTGACTTGAAACTTGTACCTCCTATATAGGGATCAGTGATGTGCAAAGCTAAGTTCTTTCTC